GGGCGGTGCGACACTGTTGACGGATGCAACAGGTGTGCGAAGGAGCGTGGCCAAAGTTTTTACACCCAAAGCCTTTAATACACGCACCCTGCACTCGGATGTGGCTGTACTAAAGCTGAAATCACCGCTGGAAGGCAACAACATTGCGACCATTCCATTATGCAACTCCAGCTGGCAACCAGGTGAACTGATAAAGGTCTCCGGCTGGGGTAAAACGACCGAGGGCAGTAAACGAGTCTCCCAGCACGTCCGCAGCGTGGACGTGCCACTAGTCTCACGGAAGAGCTGCATCAGCCAATACAAAATGCGAGGCACCATCAGCTCAACCATGTTCTGCGCCTCACTGCCGGGCATTAAGGATGCCTGTGAAGGCGACTCTGGCGGCCCGGCAGTCTATCAGAATCAACTGTGTGGCATTGTCTCTTGGGGCATGGGCTGTGGCAGACGCAACTTTCCTGGCGTTTATACAAGTGTCAAAAGTGTTAGGAGTTTTATCGACAAGGCTTTAAGCAAATAGGCTAACCAAAAAAATTAAACTAAACAATAAATGTGAATGATCAAACGAATAACCAACTATGCCAATCTATATCGACTTAGCAAAAGCAAAAACATAGCAGACAATTACGCAATAATTTAATTCATGTTCCACTTACCGCTATTGCGCAGCTCCTGTGGAACGCTAATGTGCACGCCCACATTTTGTAGATAAACATTATAGGGATTGCTAATGGTAGTCACCACTGGATAGTATTCATTGACCAGCATTGTTGTCGTGGCCGGAGCATCGCTCAATACATGGCCAAGGTTTGTTTGAGTGCTCAAATGGAAGCTGCAATGGAAGTTCAACAGAGCGTTAAATGAAGGCTGCATACAAATGCTTATGGCTTCCGGTTTTTGTGACCTACGTGGGCGCAATATAGCAAATAGTGTTTATCGTCATATTGTCATCCAGATCGCGACTGCGCGTGTGATGCCGGAATGGTTTGCGTGCATAGCTTGCGCTGCACGTGAGCAATGCGCCAATTTGTTCGGTGCCCATAAGCGCTTCCAGTCGCGCGATGCGCAGTTGTGTATTCTCATTAAACTGATGCGCCTCCGTGCTGCAAATGAGCTGGTAATAATAGCCTGGCTCTAATCGCATATTCTTCTCAAATGTCTTTGGCTCTATGTGCTCCGATTCGAGAGGCTGCTGATGGGTACGCAACTGCAGCAGACTGGGAAAGCATAAATACTTTAGCGCTTCCAGTTTGTAGCTTATTTGAGGATTACTGGCATCGGCAAGCAGAACTTGAAAGCTGCGTATGCGCAACGGCACGTCGGTAAGAACGCTGCGAAAAAAAAGGTAATACAATCAGCATATTTTTATGAATATATAATCTTTTTAACTGACCGCACTATTAGATTTAGCTGCAGCACATCGCTATTGTTTAGTTGAACCTGTTGGAATGTAGCGCAGAGCTCCAGCACACCACTGACTTTATCTAAATCAATTTGAATCGGTGATTTCACGCTTGCCAGCGCGTTACTCCACAGCGCTTGCACTTCAGGCGTCATTTGAGTTTGTGGTATAGGCGGCACACTTTGAAACACTTGCCAAAGATTCTCTAGCAGCAGTACGCGCTCTTTCTGCTCACCATGATGGCGCAGAGACAGTGCTTCAATGCTGCAAGAAATGTAATCGGCCACTGAGGCGGAGAGCAGAGCACAGCGTAGAGTCTTTAGCAGCACATCACTAAAAATGGTCGTCCATTTCTCCTGACGGTAGTCGGGCAACATAAGAGAGTACAGACTGAAAGTGAAATAGTATCATGGGTTAAACTTAACTTTTAATAAATGTATTAGGAAGTCACTTACGTTAATGCCTTGGCGTGATCGCCACTGCGTAGATACTCTTCGGCCATGTCAATGGCCAGTTTCTTACGGAATCTCAAGCACTTGTAGATCTTGAACTGCGCCATTGCCTGACTGAGAAGCGATATGATTGCCGATGAATGATTAAAGTTGCGCTCCTGCTCCACGAGTTGCATATTTGCCTGCTGTTCGGCAACAGGATCACCCGTCTTAATTGCACGTGTACCAAAGAACTCGGTGTACAAGCTCTGATTTGGCGTCACATTCGTTGTGCTCGATCCTAAGAGCGTGGCACTGGCCTGTTGAGCGGCTTCACGTCGCTTTATCACATATTCGGCGGCCTTCTGGTAATAAATACCTGGATGCTGCGTCTGCAACGCAGGCAAACCATTCTTGATTGCCTCACAGAAGAGCTCCGCGAAGACTGAATGTCTGTAAAAGGATTTGGATAGCAAATTATGTCTTCATCCTTAAGCTAATATATATATGCCCAGCTTACTGCGTACTTAGCCAGGCGTGATGCTCAAAGGCTAAATCCTTGAAACCCAAACAGTTTTTATACTTATCAACGTGAATAATAAACTGATTGATGGAATCCCTTGGTGTTTTTAACTTAAACATAAGCCGGCACATTTTATAGTTGAGAAAGCCAGCAATTGTTTTGATCTCCATGCAATTAGTATCTGTGATCCGTATTTCATCTAAGTTACCGTAAGCCTGAAAATAGTGTCTATAACCACAGTAATTGTTATTGACTGGATATTAGTATTTAAGCATTTTTAACTTACTTTTGTGCCGTGCTAAAGTCCTGACGCATCTCAGCCACAAAACCCAGCTTAAATTGATGGCGTATCTTGAGTGTTGTATGGGCAGCAGAAAGCTGATCGCGATGAGTACGTATACGTTTCGACATGAGTGCATAATAGGACTGAGCCATATCCAAGAACGCGGACTCCAGGCGCATCGTGTATCCCATTAGATGCTCCGTGTGGGGCAATATGAACAGCATTTTGCTCGTAATTCCGCACGCGGTAGTTAGACTAGCGGCACGCTCAGCTGCCAGCATATCCTCGCCTGCCGGCAGTGGCGCTGATTTCTGGAGCAACACCAAGCACAGCCTTGTATTACGTTCTTGCAAAGCATTTTTAAGGCCCTGAACAATAGCTGCACACTGCACTTGCTTCTCTGTCCATTGGCTGTCGTTCCATTCGATGTCTTGGAAGAGCACCACCACGGATGGCAATACATGCAAATGCTTCAACATCCAGTTACGCTTAAGTATTCCTTTCGGATGGTACCACTCGTATGAGGCGCGCTTTGGCTTAGCAACCGGAAACTCATAGTTGGGAGGTAGTAGTTTATATTGTACGGCAGCCCGATCCCTGTCCCGATCCGCTGGCTTCCGTTGAAGAGTTCCGCTGAATGCATCCCAAATTGATTTGTGAACGCTTTGGTTCGCGATATCCAATCCACAGAAACCTATTAGCGGTTGTGGTATTACGAGCAGCTCTGAAGGCAGAGTTGTGCCATCAATCGTCATAGTTTAGTATGTGTAATAGATATAATTTGCTTCCCCGCACACTGCTGGCAAACTCTGTTTCAAGGCCTATCGTTGGTTGTTAACTGGGAGTAAATTTTGCGTATTCAATGCCTTCGCCGCATTAGGCACACGCAATAAAACAATTTGTGCGTACAACAAAGCTGTTTTGGCCAAAAATTCCAGCAAATTTTACGGTATTAAATGTAAATAAACGCCGCCCCAGAAAATGCAGTTTTCAATCAGCTGTAGTTGTACGTAAGCTTATAATCGATATCGAGCATCGATAATTACTAGCATATGCATCCCTGAGCCTAGCTGTCAGATTCGCACGAACTGTCAGTGAGCTGTCTTCGGCTTTGTTATACGTGTCGCACTACGTACTTTCACATTCGTTTTGTTATTTTCGCTCTAACCACAGGTAATGCTCGCGTGCGCTTGGTAAATTAATAGTAGTCAAATCTTATTATATTTTTTCATTTTAAAATTTTAGTGTTAAAACGCTACAACAACCTTTAAAATGGCCCCACCACAGAGAATGCGCGTCGCCAACGAGAAGGCCAGCAAATATGTGACAATGCGTGGCAATGTACCCAAATCCTCGGTAGGTGTTAAAATCTTGAACTAAATTTTCTGTTTTTTGATGCAGTTGTAAATCTAATCACTGCCTCAACTGCAAAGGAACAGCAAGAGATAATGACACCTGCATGGGTCTCATAAAAACAAATCCAATAGGAAAAAGTGCCACGCCGTCATTGATTTTGTTGCAGTGCTGATATGTGTATTTGTATGCGTGTGTGAGAGTTGAATCGAGTTATCGCTGCTTCTAGATTTTCCTAGCTGTTGCTTCAGCTATCTTCTGATTAATGTTATTTTACTAATCCGTTTCTCGTTTTTCGTTTATTTCAGAAAACGAAAGAGGGACAATACCCGGTTGGGCCCTGGCTTTTGGCATTATTTATCTTTGTCGTGTGCGGATCAGCAATTTTCCAAATCATTCAGTCCATTCGAGCTGCGTAAACCTGTACAGATATAAATACAAAATTTTTAAATATTATGCTAAGCTCAGAACACAAACAAACACACACACAACCACTCTGACGTCTTCTCTCAAAAACTTTCGTAGCAGAACCTTCCCGACATTATGTGCAACGTCTATAGAGATAAAGCTCGAACGACAACCAGGCTTTTTAGTTAACTCAATTTTTAATGAAAAATGTATTTCTATGTGCATGCAAAATTTAAGTTCATATTTTGTATACTTTATATATAATTAAGCGTTAAACCCGAACTGTCTGTAAAAGCATTCCCGCACACTTATACATTTCTTATACATATGCTGATTGTGCTAAAGTGGAATGAACAAGTTGCAAAAACATTATTTTAAAATGTTTTTGCAGCTATTTAAATAGTTCAAGTTTAAAAGTTGTTTTCGGCAACGAGGACGATTAGAAGAAAATACCTATGAGTAAATACAATTATGAATATATGATAATTTTTTACCTAAAACAACTTAAACTTGTGTTTTCACTTTACTGTTAAAGTAAAACCAACAAAACAAAACACTGATGTGAATGCTGTTTAATTTGTGTAGCCCTGGTAGATTTCTCTCGAATGTCCCCGAAACGCTACGATAGAATGAACGGCAATACATTTGTCAAACTTCTTAAATCCAATAAGTTAAATCGATAATAAAGTAAAATTTAATAAATTGAAGAAGCAACTGATTTTTTTATGCGAGCAATTAAGTAATTTTTGATCTGATTACAAATAAAAATAAATAAATAAATTAACCAACAGCGTCATGCAATTGTAGCGTGTTTGGACCTCATAGCAGTTAAACAGTTGCTTTGGCCGCAAGTGTTAGCAGTAAACAAAAACATAAAATCTTTTTAAAATGAATCTATAAATCTATGTATAAAGTTAAAAAAACCTAATGCGACGCATTTATACAGCGGCCTACGTACACATCATGTCGAAGAACAAGGGAAAAGGTAAAGCAACGAGCAAAGCCGGCGAGGCGACCACACCACCAGTCTCCAATACGCCGGTCACACTGGACAAGAGTGGCAACATTGCTATCAAAATTCTAGCCAAGCCTGGCGCCAAACAGAATGGCATCACAGACATTGGACTAGAAGGCGTTGGTGTACAAATCGCAGCACCCCCCAGCGAAGGAGAAGCCAATGCCGAACTGGTGAAATTTCTTTCCAAAGTGTTGGGACTTCGCAAGAGCGATGTATCGCTCGACAAGGGCTCCCGTTCCCGCAATAAAATAATACTCGTTTGCAAAGGCGTCACCACCGTGGAGGCTATAGAGCAATCATTGCGAAAAGAATGTGAATCATAACCACACTTCGTAAATAAATGACCAGAAAAATACTTTTTTATGCTTTATTATCGATGCGATCATCCAATCTTATTACATATTCCATTAATAGCTAACGCATATGTAGTCTTTGTGTTTTTTTTTCATTACATAAATTACTTGGATTCTAAATTAGGAATTTCTTAACGACAACTGCTCTTACGTAGTGAAAGTGTAAATCCTATTATTACATATTTCTTGAATATTTTTTTGAATGAGTTAAGCGTATTACTGTCGCATATAACGCGACACAACGTAAATACAAATTACAAATGTCAACGAAACATTAAATAACTCTGCTGTCAAGTCTAACATAAGAGGTTCCGACAATGGAAATGAAATGTTTTTAACTTAAGTAATTTTGTATCAAATGGTGTGAAGAAATGGTTCTGGTGGGGGTGGATGAGTAGTTTTTGGTTGAACGGTTGTTTTTAATCGACCTCCTCCATGTGGGATGCATCCTCGGTGTCCTCAACCAGAGATGGAGCATCACCAGCGCTTTGGGCATCCTCTGTGGTCATGGGTTCATCCTCGTCGATGCCAAGACCCAGCTTGATCATGCGATAGATGCGGCTGGCATGCACTTGTGGGCTGTCCAGCGAGAATCCAGATGACAAAAGTGATGTCTCGAACAGCAGAATGACCAGATCTTTGACGGCCTTGTCATTCTTATCGGCCTCGGCCTTCTGACGCAAGGTCTCCACAATGGGATGGTCGGGATTGATTTCCAAGTGTTTCTTGCCGGCCATGTAGCCCATGGTCGAGGTATCACGCAATGCCTGAGCCTTCATGATGCGCTCCATGTTGGCGGACCAACCGAACTGCGAAGTGACAATGCAGCAAGGTGAATCGACCAGACGGTTGGACACGACAACCTTCTCCACTTTGTTGTCCAAGATTGATTTCATCAACTTGCACAAGCTCTCGAATTTGGCCTTATCCTCCTCGCGCTTCTTCTTCTCAGCCTCATCCTCGGGCAACTCCAGACCCTCCTTGGTAACAGAGACGAGCTGTTTGCCCTTGTATTCCTTCAGGTGCTGGATGACGTATTCATCAATGGGTTCAGTCATGTAGACCACTTCGAAGCCACGAGCCTTGACACGCTCAACGAAGGCCGAGTTGCTGACCTGATCCTTGGACTCGCCAGTGATGAAGTAGATGTGCTTCTGGTTCTCCTTCATCCTCGACACGTAGTCGGCCAATGAACAGAAATCATCGCCGGAGGCGGAAGTATGGAAGCGCAAGAAATCGGCCAACTTAGCGCGGTTGTTGCTGTCCTCATGGACACCCAACTTCAAGTTCTTGCTGAACTGGTCGTAGAACTTCTTGTAGTTCTCCTTGTCCTCTGTAAGCTCCTCAATCAGCTCCATGGTCTTCTTGACTAGATTTTTACGGATAACTTTCAGCACCTTGTTTTGCTGCAACATCTCACGGGAAATATTGAGTGGCAAATCCTCGGAGTCAACCACACCCTTGATGAAGTTCAAGTACTCGGGAATCAGATCTTCACAGTTGTCCATGATGAAGACACGGCGCACGTAGAGTTTAATGTTGTTGCGCTTCTTCTGGTTCTCGAATAGATCGAAAGGTGTGCGACGTGGAATGAATAGCAGAGCACGGAACTCCAACTGACCCTCAACAGAGAAGTGCTTAACAGCCAAATGATCCTCCCAATCGTTGGTCAACGACTTGTAGAACTCGCCGTATTCCTCCTGGGAAATATCATCGGGATTGCGTGTCCAGATGGGCTTTGTCTTGTTCAGCTCCTCGTCTTCGGTGTACTTCTCCTTGATGGTCTTCTTCTTCTTGCCATCCTTCTCTTTCTTGTCGGCATCTTCATCCTCGCCAACATCCTCAATCTTGGGCTCATCAGTATCCATATCCTTCTTCTCATCACCCTCCTTCTTCTCGTCATCAGCCTCATCATCGCTGACCTCCTTCTCACGCTCCTTCTCTACCAGCAATTTGATGGGGTAGCCAATGAACTGGGAGTGCTTGTTGACAATCTCCTTGATCTTGGCTTCCTCAAGGTAGTCGGTCTGATCCTCCTTGATGTACAGCACAATCTTGGTACCACGGCCCAATGGCTCGGAGTTATCAGCGCGAACGGTGAAGGAGCCACCGGCAGACGATTCCCAGATGTACTGTTCATCATCATTGTTCTTCGAGGTCACTGTAACCTTATCAGCCACTAGATATGCCGAATAGAAGCCAACACCAAACTGGCCAATCATGGAAATGTCGGCACCAGCCTGCAATGCCTCCATGAACGCCTTAGTGCCCGACTTGGCAATTGTGCCCAAGTTGTTGACCAAATCGGACTTAGTCATACCAATACCGGTATCAATGATAGTCAGTGTACCAGCTGTCTTGTTTGGTATGAGCTTGATGTATAGCTCCTTGCCGGAGTCAAGTTTGCTGGGATCCGTCAGCGATTCATAGCGGATCTTGTCGAGTGCATCAGACGCATTGGAAATCAATTCACGCAAGAAGATTTCTTTGTTTGAGTAGAATGTGTTAATGATCAACGACATAAGCTGAGCAATCTCAGCCTGGAATGCAAAAGTCTCCGCTTCTTCAGGCATCTGCAATAGAAAACAATATTTTATTTAAAATATGTCACCTCTGAAAAAATTTATTTTACTTTTCATTTAATATTTCACGGTCACTTATTCTACCCCCAAGAGAGCATCTCAGTTGCTTGCTCCCTCACTCCGTTGATGACAAGCGTGTACATAAGCTATGTACACCTATGTACGCATGTATGTGTATGTACATACACATTAGTAAATTCGAGAAGCGTCAGTCTTGCCATGATAGAAAATTGCCGAAATGTTCTAGAAAAACTCCCTTAAATATAACAATACATATGTATATGTATGTATGCCATGTATATATATGTATTACATACATATTGGATTATGTAGATGCATTGTATTTTTTCACGAAGACGCTTTCTAGAACAATTCTGGGTCATACATATACATACACACATATCTTTCGAGAATGAAAGAAAAATTTGCAAACACGTGCAATTATAATATGTACTTAATCGTAAGCATCATTATTTGCATTTAAATGGATTTTTTTTTTACATATTAAATAGATTTTTACATATTAATATATAACTGACGTATTCTCTAGTAGACTGTCTCCAGAAGTTTCGGCAATTTTACATTGCCGGCATATTTTGCGACAGTGACTCAACTTAATAGCGTGCTCATAGAATTTGATTGTCTTGCTGGTAAGCAAGTCGAACTTTGCTGCTCTTGAACATTTCTCTAATTATAAATGAAAATGTAGTTAGTTGGTCGCAATTTCTAGATCCTTCTGCAACCAATACAGCATTAATCGTGTCAAGAGTTTTTCCGTTGCACATACACACATACTTTCGCTTTAATTCATTAACCGAAATGCAATTGGTTTGGCACAGCTGCCCCCTTTTTTGGCAATAGAAATGTATTTTATATTAAATATGCTTACCTTGTATTATTTTATTTCACTGAACTAACTTCAAATATGATATACTTTTTCACTTTTAGCGCAGAAAATGAAATTTTCCTTTTTTTTTTGTTTTTGCTTTGCCTCAGGGCAGACTCTTTTTATGCTCACCGCACGAATTTTGTTTCAATACTGACAAGCCGGCGTCTGCTTGCTACTGCTTTTATAGGGGTTGAACAAAATTCTACGAAGCTTCTAGATTTTTCGAGAAACATCTAGTCGTCAGGGCTACCTCTTCCGGTTTTCAACGCAGTGTTGCATTGAGCCAACTGACATTAGTGTGAGTCGATGTTTCTGTAATGTTCTAGAAACTATGTTCAAATAAATTTATATTCCACTAATATTGAACCATGTTAATGTTATTATTAAATACTTTTATTGTTTATTTTGACATCACTCTTGAGTATTTAGTTCAATAATAATAATTTGGATAGTATAAACAAATAAACAACCTTTAATTTTTCTTCAGTATTTTCATAATGTCATAATTTTAATCAAATTTGAACTTTTCAGTATATTTTTTGACCTGCCGTAATTTTGGGTGACCAAACTTGGTAAAAATAAAAAGTGTGCCCAGATTGCGTTAGCCTATAATTTAGTACCAAACTTAATAGCATTTTGTTTATGTTGTGTTTAAAATAATAAGAGCAAATTAGAGAATCTTATGATAAAATGGGTGGCACGCGATGCGTATTTCGTGACTGCCAAGTCTCAACACAACGCAATCCCAAAATGCATTTTTTCAAACTGCCAGTTCGTGATCCAGTTCGCCTGGAAACTTGGCTTAAGAATTGCGGCAACGCTGACATTTTAAATGTTGCCAAGGAGAAATTATCCAATCGCGCTGTTTGCGCGCGTCACTTTCGCTACGAATGCTTTATGAACTATAAATTAGATCGACTAATACCAAATCAGACGCCCACTTTGGTGCGCGTCAGTAAGGATTTGGCCTGGGACATGGAGCACCTCGACGAGAATGGTGAGGCAACAATGGTGAAGCTTTCCATGCCCACATTGGAGCATTTAATACCTCCCCCAAATTTCGAATGTCCACTTGGTTTCACCGATGACGCACGATTTGGACGAAAATACGTAGCGAGAAGACGAACGCCACCCAAGCCCCTGATCCTCGAGCCAAATAAAAGACAAAAACTTGTGCATGAGCAAGGGAATACAACTGAAACATCCTTAATCGTTGACACGGGTAAAGAACAGCCGCTGAGTGGAAAAGACATTGATATGGGGCCTCTGACAGACTCAAATGTAACAGAAGAGATGCACGAAGACTATCAGCTTAAATATGAGCAATTGAGAACAAACTTTGAGCAACTCTCTAAAGAGAATGCCGATTTAAAGCAAACAATCGAGAGACTAGAAGCTCAAGCTGAAGTATTAAAGAGCTCCTCTTCCACCTCTGTGGCACCACAATTGACCAAGTCACAGCTGTACAACGGCATTAAAAAGTATCTGGGTGCAACAATGGCTGCACTCGTGCGCATGGAAATGTTCGGCGGCGCAGAGCGTCCATGGAAAGAGGATGAACGGGATTTTTCCAAGGAGCTGTTACAGTTGGGCGAGCACGTCTACACACACTGCTGTGATGAATGGCGATTTCGGTTGCCCTCATTGCGTATGGCACGCAGTTGGCTGGAAGATAAACATACCGAAGAAAACGAAGGAGAACAGTTATAAAAGCTAGATAATCATATTTTCATATGACTAAGTTAACAGCAGCAAATGTGCCTTTCGCTTCTTATATTGGCAACTATCTTAATTAGATATATATAAAAACTTACTCTTATACGACTGTCTTACTTAGTTTTGGCATCAAGGCCAAACATTCAAATTGTGACAAAGGTTCTGAAGAATTTGAATTTATGTACCTTCAGCAATCTTTATTACTTTTTTAATCTGTGCACAAGGTCTTCACGTAAATCATAATTGCTCGTATTATTAAAATGCGATTCGGAATTAAGGCATATCAAAGCAATTTCGGTCTCCTTACTGAGCAGACATACCAACGAAAGCCTCAAGATGAAGTCGTCTTTACAAAATGTTCTTGTAAGTAAAGACACCATGTGGTTATTATTTTATTTTTAACCTTTAAATTGTTACAGCTACTAATGTTCTTTGTAACATTTCCAACGTTGCATTGTCAAACGTGCTCGGATTGTTCATTGACCGACGGAGTATATGCATGTGTGGATGAGTTTTCTTACGGCATATGTTTCAATCTTGGAGCCGTTGATACTAACACAATTCGATCATGTGGAGATGGCTATTACTGCAATGTTGACGGCTCATTTTGTTCTCCACAGGAATCCTCTACCGTTAGTTTACCTCAAATCTTCATTATTTAACATTTTAACATAGTTCTGTTGCAGCCATCATGTGAAACTTCTTCTTCAACTGCAGCTGTGTCCACCTGTTCAGATTGTTCGCTGACCGATGGTGTCTATGCCTGCATGGATGAATTTAGCTATGGAGTCTGTTACAATCTCGGCTTTGTCGATCCAAACGCCATTCGATCATGTGATGATGGCTTTTACTGCAATGTGGATGGCACATTTTGCTCACCCCGCGATACGTCTTCCGTAAATTTGATTGAAATTTCTTGTGTTTACATATTTTCATTTGCTGTCTTTTATTACAGCCATCATGTGTATCGTCAACAACTCCAGAACCTACTACAGTATCGACAACAGGTAAACCTACTGGATCGACTACAGTTTTACCACCTGCTTCTACGATCACACAGTCTCCAGAATCTTCAACAGAATCTACAACTCTTTCGCCCCCTGATTCTTCGACTGCGCAGTCACCAGAACTTACAACCACAGTATCTCCCCCTGAATCCTCGACCGCGCAGTCTCCAGAACCTTCAACTACCGTTTCACCTCCTGAGCCTTCCACTGCGCAGTCTCCAGAACCTTCAACTACAGTATCTCCCCCTGAGTCTTCCACTGCGCAGTCTCCAGAGCCGTCAACTACAGTTTCACCCCCTGAGTCTTCCACTGCGCAGTCTCCAGAACCGTCAACTACAGTTTCACCCCCTGAGTCTTCCACTGCACAGTCTCCAGAACCTTCAACTACAGTTTCACCCCCTGAGTCTTCCACTGCGCAGTCTCCAGAACCGTCAACTACAGTTTCACCCCCTAAGTCTTCCACTGCGCAGTCTCCAGAACCGACAACTACAGTTTCACCCCCTGAATCCTCAACCGATCAGTCTCCAGAACCCTCAACTACAGTTTCACCCCCTGAGGCTTCCACTGCGCAGTCTCCAGAACCGACAACTACAGTTTCACCCCCTGAGTCTTCCACTGCGCAGTCTCCAGAACCGACAACTACAGTTTCACCCCCTGAGTCTTCCACTGCGCAGTCTCCAGAACTTTCAACTACAGTATCTCCCCCTGAATCCTCAACCGATCAGTCTCCAGAACCCTCAACTACAGTTTCACCCCCTGAGGCTTCCACTGCGCAGTCTCCAGCACCGTCAACTACAGTTTCACCCCCTGAGTCTTCCACTGCGCTGTCTCCAGAACTGACAACTACAGTATCTCCCCCTGAATCCTCAACCGATCAGTCTCCAGAACCCTCAACCACAGTTTCACCCCCTGAGTCTTCCACTGCACAGTCTCCAGAACCTTCAACTACAGTTTCACCCCCTGAGTCTTCCACTGCGCAGTCTCCAGAACCTTCAACTACAGTTTCACCCCCTGAGTCTTCCACTGCGCAGTCTCCAGAACCGACAACTACAGTTTCACCCCCTGAATCCTCAACCGATCAGTCTCTAGAACCCTCAACTACAGTTTCACCCCCTGAGGCTTCCACTGCGCAGTCTCCAGAACCGACAACTACAGTTTCACCCCCTGAGTCTTCCACTGCGCAGTCTCCAGAACTTTCAACTACAGTATCTCCCCCTGAATCCTCAACCGATCAGTCTCCAGAACCCTCAACTACAGTTTCACCCCCTGAGGCTTCCACTGCGCAGTCTCCAGAACCGTCCACTACAGTTTCACCCCCTGAGTCTTCCACTTCGCAGTCTCCAGAACCGTCAACTACAGTTTCACCTCCTGAGTCTTCAACTGCGCAGTCTCCAGAACCTTCAACTACAGTATCTCCCCCTGAATCCTCAACCGATCAGTCTCCAGAACCCTCAACTACAGTTTCACCTCCAGATTCTTCCACTGCGCCGTCTCCAGAACCTTCAACCACAGTTTCTCCCCTTGAATCCTCGACCGCGCAGTCTCCAGAACCTTCAACAACAATTTCGCCGCCTGATTCGTCGACTGCAAAATCTCCAGACCCTTCAACAACAGTTTCACACCCCGATTCCTCGACAGCACCGTCTTCCGTGTCCACGCAGGAGTCGAGCTCAGAACCCACAAGTACAGAGGTGCCAGAATTCAATGCCGATGCATACTGTTTGAGTCTCAACAAAGAAGGATATTTTAGGGTCCCGAGTGATCCCACCTGCAAAGAGTAAGATGCGTGTCTCGTGGTGCATATTGCTGACTATATTTATTTATTTACGTCTTACAGTTATGTGAACTGTTACAAATTGTCGGGAGATACCCTAGGTTGGCTCTTTCATTGCAACACTGACGAATATTTTAACTCGGAGACAAGTCAGTGTGAAACTGAGCGACCTGCTGACTGCTGATAAACTGAATTTTATTTAACTTTCGCAAGGATGAGTAGAAACATGTTATAAAAAAAATATATATTTATATATATATAATATTGTATAATAAGAAGGATTTATTTAAGTATATTGCTTACAGTTTTGTATTCTTTTATTGGTACGATTAGTATTATTATTATTATTATTATTATATATTTTTATAAATGATCGAAACAACCAGAATTTCTCTTTTATTTCTATATTTATTTATATGAATGCTCAAAAAGGATATATTGACGTTAACAAACCCTCAAATATAGGTTAAGAATATAGTATATTCAAAATTTTGATATGCATGTAAATTGCTTAAGTGCAAAGGTCTGGTTTAGGGGACGTACAGAACTTGCCGTTAAACCACGTCTCTGATGGGCATTTCAGTTCACGACCCCTCCAGACTCCATTAATGGACGCGCATTGGATATACCTATAAAAAATATAATACATATATATATTCAATATATCGATACAAATCGGTCACTTTACGTAGCACATGTGGGGTCCAATTCATTTGTCAATTGGTTAGTTGTTTGGGTCTCTTGACAGAGAGTGTCTGGATCCCGAGGGGTGTTATTAGGAACACAATTCGCCTCACCAGTCGATTTCGGATAGCATATATATTTACCGCCAGTGCAATGATAGTCTTTGGGACATTCTATATAATCCTTAGATGGAGCGCCTGAACAATGAGTATACTATTAATTGGTGTATTTGTAGATAATATATATATATATATATATATATATATATATATATATATGTGAATACCATTTATGCAAATCGAAAATGTGGTTTCACTATGGCAAGCAGCTCGAACTTCAGTCTGGCAGACATCACACTGAGCTAGCAAATTCTGGGGCAGTGCTAAGGAAACTAGAAGAAAAGCTGCCTAAAAAATATACAGGAATTATTAGTACATTTTGTGTATCAGATACACGGTTTAACAATACTAACGATCTTTGACAATTGAAACATTTTTGGAGCATGTGCAGTGGAGCAGCAAATTTGTAAAACTGGCCAAAATTGATGGAACGCTTGATTTATATGCACATCTATAAGCATAGATAAGTCGTATTACCTTGGGTTAGATAACATAAAGAAATTGTTGACTGCAGTAAACCTTGACAGAATCATAAACCAAAGGGGATGACAAATATTTTATTTAATCTGAGATAAAGAAAATTCGGAGAAATAACAATCTTTATTGGCATATTTTTTTTGATTTTATTAAAAACAAGATTGGTAAAATTATGTACAGGAATCTGGTTTCACGGCATCGCATTCAACTCCATTGAAATAGGGTTTGTTTGGGTTTGAACACTGGTATATTCGTCCTAGTAGTTGACCAGTAGAACCATTTTCGTAACAATAAATAAAACTAAAGGAAAATACATTATAGATTTCATTACTGCGCTTGATGCTGCTGCTCACCTTTTGCAGGTGGGATCATCCTTGTTTTCATAGCTGGTTGCCTTTCCGATAGCATTGCAATATGCATTCAGATCGACTACAGGTTTACAAATGGGATCATTGTGGCTTTCCGGATAACATATATATTTTCCTCCCGTACAAACGTAATTGGTTGGACAGGTAATAACTTTTTTTGATGCCTCACCTTCGATCAGAACGGGTTTTGTGAGCCATTCGATAAATAGTTATGTCATATGCATAATTACCATTGATGCAGATCGAATAAGTATTCTGGGAATGACAGGCAGCCCTGTTTGTCTGACAAACATCGCACTCGGCATTCAGATATTGCACCAATATCTATTGAGAAATGACTTATACATAACTATCTTTCTTTAAATAGGTTTAGCTAGCAGCTCTAGTTACCAGTGATATAAGTATTCGTAGCCACATCTTGTGTTTATCGCTCACAATTCACAATTCGAACTGAACTATTCCTTGCAAAATTTGGACACTTTATAAACATTGTTTATCACTGATAATCTTATATCTTATCTCTGGCTGGTTTATGAACTATTCACGTCTGCTTTTTATTATACCCTGAACTTCAGGATAAAGTGTCCAATATACAAATTCGGTTTTTGTTAAAATTTACGCCCACCCCTAAATTCACCCCCTCACCCACACTTTTGTAAAAAGCGTATTTCAAATACTAGAGACTTGTGCTTTGGCAAATACATACATGCATATTCATGTTATAATCATAATCTGAAAGTTTCATGAAGATCGTATGTCCACAAAAAAAGTTATTAAGCAATTAAGTTCTCATTGTAAGCGCTCACTGCCACCCATGCGTGTTTATGCTTGTGTGTGTATGTGTGTGTGTGTGTATGTATGCCTGTGTGTGTGTGTGTGCGTGTTTCTTGTGTAAGCTGAAAGACGCGAAAAATTATTGAAATAGCTATTACTCCAAGGGTTCAGGGGATCCCGTAGTCGAGCAGTCTCGACTAGAGCTTTCTTACTTGTGTAGACTCTTCTAATATTACATCTAATATTCATAAAAATAACAGATTTTTTTAAGTTAAAAATTATTTTATATAGACAGAGCTTTCTCTTCTTCTCACATCAGATGAAACTATAAATAATAAATAAACAGATTTCGAACAGGGTCTCCATTTGGTATATTGCCTTTTTATATGTTGCAGTATATAACTGGGTATTCAATGTGAGCTTTATTTTTTGCATTATTTCTAAAATCTTTGAAATAATCTGATTGTGCAGAACGTATATCTATAAAGAATATATTTTTAATAGTATTTGATTGTTGGAATGATTAATACATATTTGAAGATACCACAGTTCGGAATAGCCTTCTTCCACAGTTACGATCACACCTCTGCCAAATGGAATCTTAAACTAAAATGCTGAGCAGAAAAAATAATCTTAATTTATCGTACAGAGACTCAAAACACTTCAATTATGTATAACTTTATGTTTGTGGTTTATTGCGTATTTAGGTATTTGTCAATAAATTAAAGAATTATAGCTTTAACTGTGTGTTTAGTTATTACCGCTTAAACTACTTTTAGTCTTACAAAAATATATATTTATATATATATGTGTGTATTCACAAATTAAAGGCGCATTCGTTAGCTGTTAGCTGTATAGTATACAAAATGTGTAGGAATATATTCGAGTGTTTGAGTTTTTAATGTATGAAATGCATAATAAATACAATAATAGTTCATCTTGTGGACGTAATATGGACTTACATTTCGGTATTGGTATACACATACATATAAGTACATGGATAAATGTGGGTGTGTATAATTTATGCTAAAAAATAGTTTTGAATTCGCACAGTTGCCGTTTAGTCTTCGTATAGTTATATATATATTTATATATATATACGTATAAATTGTATAACTATTATCTAAACTATGTCTAAATGTAAAACACAACATATATATAATATAGATGCTACGTATTAAATTGCAGACCTTTTTGTATGTAGCTTAAGGCAAATCATAGCATTATAAGAACCACTTAGTAAATTTCTCTTCTGTTAAGCTAAGGCATAAATTCGTTACTTTCTAAAACGAAATAATACTTCGTCGTCAGCAAATGCAGTTTGTTTTTGTTTGTCTGTATGTTTCATTGTGTGTTTGTGTTCGAGAAGCTCTAAACGCAGCCGTATTCATACCAAATGCTATTGCTTTTATCTTCGTTTCGTTTGCGCAGTGTTTTATCGTCCTGATTGGTGCTGCCGGCGACGCTGCCGCCGCTGCCCGAGGCCTGTAAGAGTGGGCTCTGGTCGTTGGTCGTCCCAATGGTTGTATTGATGCGATTGTACATGAGAAACGTGGCTGGCTGATTGTCGTTCTTCAGTGGTGTTTGCGGCTCAGCGCCAGTGGTGGCGGTGGCGGCTGCTGTAGCATTGTTGTTTGGCGTAGGCGTTGAACTTGCCTGCGGCTGTTGTGCCGCGGCGCTGGAGCCATCGGGCAGCTTCTCATCGATCAAATAAACGGTGCGTCGCGAGCCAGCGGTACCCAGGGTTAAGCTGCTGCCAGTTACGTCGGGCGGTTCAAGTCTGCTGAAAGCAAAAATGAATTAGTAACCAGAAATACCCAGCAAATTGAAAGTAAAAGGGGAGGTATCCACAAAACACAAACAAATATTGGCATAGCTTTACATTTAAGGATTTGGGAAGGTGGGATACATTTTTTATTGGGAATTTCTTGTATGTTAAACATTTAAAAGCGCATACCCGTGCACGCTATTTCTACGTGAATTACTCAAATCCGTACGTTTCTGTGCCTGCAGGCTACTTCGCACAGTGCCACCGCGTTGTATGGAGCTATCCAGCAAATCCCTATAGAGTACATGTACAGCGCATACATAAACAGTGTGTGCGAGTGTGTGTGCAAAGTTGATGGTATTGTTGATGTTGTTGTTGTGTATATACATGTAAATAAAACAAGAACCATAAACCAAAACTAAATACATCATTTAACCATTAAAGCAAATGCATTCGGCCAGACAAAGCTGAAATAAGATTATCTTCCATTTTGCAATTATTTGGTAAAGTATAGCATAAATAATTTAGTACTTTCTCTACTCTAGCAAATTTAAATGAAATCTTCCACAGATTTAACATTAGCCCATAGTCCGAATAATATTTGACTTACCGCTGTAGACTCTGACGCAGTGGTATGTTACGCTGTAACAGATGCGTATCGGACGCAATGGATAGTGGCTCCTCATTGCTATTATCCGATTCATTGCCACCCGATTCAGAGCCAATGACAAACTGAGAATTGGTGCGAGCATCATCAACCCACGAACGACGATTCTGCAATAAATCAATATTTAGCTAAGCGCTCAAGCTATGCAAAGAATTACTTTACTCTTACCCGACTTGGCACCTTGTTCATCAAATCGGAACTGGCCTTCTTCACACGTCTAACGAGACTGCTGGCAAATGGTTTTCTGTGGAATATTTGGAATTAGAAATGCCCCGCTTAGATTTATTATCTTGTGACATACTTCTTTTGCACTGTGGTCTCCGATTTCTTATAGTGCTCCATTATCTTCTCCTCCAGTTTTTCCTTTTGACGCTTTAGGCTGTGCACTCGTTCTGTGTAGTTCTTTTCCTCTTCGTGGAAGTGCTTCTTGTCCTCCAATGAAATGGCCAGCAATTCTTGGTATTGCGACAGCAGCTGTGATACATTGTCCATTAAGGCCTTGCGCTCCGAGTCCAGGTCCGCATTGTTTTGTATAAGCATCTGGTAGATGGAATGCATCGATTAGTCGAATGTAAAATGGGGTAAAACAAAAATAACAACTCACCTCGCAACGCTGCTGAACCTTTGAGTATTCGATCTGCAGTAGACGTACCTGATCCTGTTTGGCATTCAGCTCGCCAGTCAACTCGGTATTTTGCAATTTAAGACTACTGTGCTCCACGCGAATCATTTTGTATTGTTCCTGAATGTTCTTGTATTCGTTCTTGAATCGATCGCTAGTGGCGAAGAGATTGCGGAAGTCATCAGTCAACTTGGAGTGCTCAGTGCGCAGTATGGCAAGATCTTCATGGCAGGATTTCATGCTATTGGTCTGTGCGACCAGTTCCTCGATGCGCTGCTCCTGCGATTGGATTGTCTCGCGCGCATCACGCGTCTCTTGGCGCAGATCACGCACAGCCGCCTTTAACTGTTCCTTGTCCTTGTTGAGCGATTCATATTCAGCAGAGAGCTGATCGTGCAGGCACTGCAATGTCACCTGATCTTGCAGCGCGTGCTTGTGCTCCTGCTGTAGCGCATCAATTTCCTTCAACAACGTATCCTTTTCAGCGGCCAGCTGCGAATTAGCCAATTGCAGTGCCACATGCTGAGTATTGAGTGAAGTGATTTGTGAGCCCAATGCTGCCACGTCTACACTTAATCGCGCATTCTCCGTTTGTAACTGCGTATTACTGTCCTGCAAACGTGCCAATTCCGCTGAATCACGTGACGGCCTAAGATGCAGTTTGTGCTCGAAGCGCAACTCCTGCGCTGTGGGCACTTTAGGCGTTGCTGACAGCTCGATATTCTTTTCCACGGTAAAGATTTCCTGGCGATGACATAGTACACACATGTCCGACTTGACGCCCGCCTCCTGCTGCTGCTCACGATTGACATTCAGCATAATTTCGCGCACAGTCTTAAAGGTTTCTGGATTGCGTACCAGCTTCTCCACCACATGCTCTACATTTAGTTCAGATGGTTCACCGTCGACCTCGTTGACATCCAGTCCGAGTTTTTCCAGATTGTGGCGCACCTTCTTGGTGACTAGCGTTCCATTAACCAGATCGTTGCGTAGCGTGCTTATCATTTCTTGATCAATGTTGCGCTGCGAGCATAGCTCTTGATTCTGTTTTTCCAGTTCGACAAGCTTTTGCTGCACTAGCTCCGCCTCCTCCTGTACTTTGGCGAGCCTCATTATATCTTTGGCTTGGGTGTCCAGCCTGTTGATGCTCTCGTCCAGTTGTACAGACTTTTGTTCACTGCTCTCCTTAAGTTTTGTCACTTCTTTCAGCAAGCTGGCATTCTCGCGCTCGTACGTACATACCTTCGCCTCAATCTCGTAAAGTTTCTGTTTGGTCTGCTCGAACTGTTGGGTTTTTTCTATATACTGTTCCAGCTCCTTTGTCTTGGCTTCTGCGAGGCGTTCCAAATCATCGGCTCGACGCTGAATGCTCTCATTGAGAGTTTGAATGCGCTGCTTCTCTTTATTTAGTGTTTCTACATACTGTTCGGCATCCGCGAGTTTTTGACGATCTGCCTCACGCTCTAGACTCTGGCGATCGTAGCTCTTCTGACGACTATCGACGGCATCCTGCAGCTTTTTGTTCTCTTCTAAAGCGTTCTTAAACACGCTCTCCAATTCCACATTTTGTTGCGTCAATCTTTGTATGTTCTCTTGCATCTGTTCAATTTTCAGCGACAATTTCTTCTTCTCTTTTTCAAGTTCTAGCATTTTGCTCGTTGATTCATGGAAGCTGTTCTCTTTCAACTGCTCCAGAGCAGCAGTCAGTCGACGATTCTCTAGCTCTAGCTTAAGAGCACGTGTTTGTGCATTGTTCGTAAGTTGCTCGGACAAACTATTGTCACCTGAATTGCACTCGTCCTCATTGTCGGAGAATGATTTGTCGACTTCCTGCGTGCAATTGAGATTCTTTGCTACCAGCTGCAGTTGAGCATTCTCTTCGAGAAGCTCTTCTAGCTTGGCTCGATCCACATCACGCTCGAGCGCCATGTCATTCAATTTCTGCTTGTACTTGATGATTTCCGACTCCAAGGTGATGGCATGTTCCGAACGTTTACGTGAACGTTGTAGCTGCTCCTCCAGCATTTCTCTGTTAAATTGATTCATATGTAAGTAAAGTTAATTTATTTTATGTATTGTGCTGCATATACTTAGATTCAAGCAGTACACGATTATCCTCGCGCAGCTCTTCCACGCGCGACTTATAAAAGTCTGAATCCCCAAGTTTTTCCCGATATTTCTGCACCTCAATCTCTAGACGATCGGCACGTTCCGCACGCTCACGCAATATATCAACTTCATCCCGATAGGCAGAGGCGCGTTTTGCCTCAGTAAACCATTCTTGGCTCTGTAATAGAAACAAAGAGCATATTAGTTAGTTTAGACTAAGCAATTGAAAGCAACTTACTTCCTGGCGCAGCTTTTCAAAACGCTGCTTTTTGTCATCCAGCTCTTCACGTAGCTCCAGCAGAGTCTCCGACTTCTCCTCACTGTAAACGGAAAACAATTTAGCTATTAGGGTTTTCATAATTGGATTGAGTCACTTACAGTTCTTGACGCAATTTACGATTCTTAGATCTAAGATCTGCGCACTCCACCGCCAAATGATTGCTTTCTGAATTGGAAGATGAAGAGGTTGTCGAGGTGGCTGTACCACTGGAAGGTGAACGGGGAACACTAACACCTTGTCCGCATTCGACTCCATCAGTTGCACTAAGCTCTGGCTCCACGCACACTGTTTCGATCCACTTCAAGTACATTTGATCACGCTCCTTGGTTAGGCGGATTATGTGTCCATACATATTCTCGGCCGACAGACGTTCTATTGAATCCTCGGTGAGCACCAGGCTGTGGCTATCCGTCACCTGTTTGATGAGCGCCACAATGCCATGCTGAGTCTCCAGATCCAGTTCCTTAATGCGCGCTATGAAAAGCTCTTTGTTGGGGCATTGCACCGCTGCGCCCAGCAACAGTGTTAGCAGGGTTTTCATCTGTTCTAAGCCCTGCTTGCTCTCCGGATAATAGCCCAGTATATAGGCATCAGGCAGCACCAGTATAGTCTGTCCCAGCTCCTCTTCGAAAAGTGCTTTTAGGTTACGTACTATGCACTCAAAGTTTTTGGCTCGCGCAATGCTCAACGACTTGCCGCTTAGTTCACTGAGCAGTTCGCTGGGATTGTTCTGTGGTTCCGGATCGATTTGTAACCAAACGCTGTGTATTATGTGGCCATCCAGCAGCGAGGTATAACCAGCGAGCAGCTCGGCACGAGGTAAGCATGATTCCAACTGAAAGTGAAAGATCGTACAAGATTAGGTTGCTATTAACTGTAAGTATAGCCCTAACGATAATTAAGTTTAATATATTTACAAGTATACGTAGTACCAATTGGCAAATTAATTTTCTCATTTAGGAAAAGAGAGTATTCTCAACATTAAGTACACATCATTATTCAACATACATTTACATATAAGAATATAGAATTTACATATAAGAATAATAAATACAGAATATACTAATATTCCCTCTTTTAGCATGCAAATTTGTCAAGGGTATAAAAGCCGGTCGAGCAAAACTCAGAGTTCTCGTAATTGACAAACAAAGGCCTGCCGACGGGCCGCTGCTAATGACAGCATTAAAAAAGTTGTTTTTTGTTTTTGTACCGTAAACGGTAGCAATAGCCAAAGCCACAGTTACAATGACCTTGGGGCTAAGAGTCGGAAATCTCTGTGGCTATAAATATGTGTGTACGCATGTATGCTTCTATGTATTTTCATACATACCCGTATGTGCGGGCGCATGTAAATTGAATACTTGAATATTTATGTATGCCAATCACGTTTTTATTCAGCTGCCCTCTTATGAGCATGTCGAGCATGTTTATCCACTCACTCACCCAAGAGACGAGCGCTCCATTTATGAATTCGTCAATTTCCATCGGTGTTGCGGTTGCCGTGCCAGCCATTCTTGTTGTTGCTGCTGTTTTTCCAGTGCACGCGTGTGTGTGTGAGTGTGCCTGCGTGCGTGTGCTTATGGGGCTACACCTGCACCTGCCGTCAATGCAATAATTGTAGCGGCGACACCAACGACAGTGGCGGCTGTGTCTTTGTTTCTAATTTAATTGCCGCCGTGACAGCTTCACAGCTTCCAAATCATTTTATATGCAAACACACACACTCACACACGCGTGGATAGAAACTGTTTGCCAATAACAATAACAGAAAACTTGAGAAGATCTTATATATTTGTTCTTAATTTTAAATATGAACTGCGGACAAGCGACCAGGTTGGTTTATCTAACATTAACAATTAACAATCTAAAGTTTTTTATTTTTATTTTTTATTTTTGGCGAAACACCTGCGCTGCGCTTGTTGTAAATTTGGGATGTAAGAAATAAACATCTAGAGATGTGCTTAATATATCGATACAGTTCATTTTATATCGATAGAAGTAAATTTTAAAATTATATATTGTCGTAAATTTATGAATTTGATTAGGTAAATAAATCGAATTCTACAATATTTAAAAAATTTATTTGCCTCTATGTCCTTAGACTCAATATTGGTTTCTTATCGGAACAGTAATAGTATCGATCTGTAGGCAGCTGTTTACTATTTTGCCACTACTGGCAACGCTGCAAGTTAGTTGCCGTTGACATTTCTTAGCGCCCAAAGCTTACTTGTGTGCGGGAATGCCTGGCTATACTGGCGAACGGATTATTTAACGCGTCCGTAAAGATGGCTTCGATTGCGCATCCAAAATTGCAAATTACGAAAATTGCACTGTTAAATTAGTTAGTTATATGAAAATAAACGGATTCGAAACGCATTGAAAACGAAAATATATTTAAAAAAAAAAAACGACCCGAAGAGTGCGTGAAGTTAAAAGCGGCTTGCCTATATATAGATAATTCTATATATATGCACATTTTGTTGCAAATAGGTTAATATATTTAAATATACGATATGGGCAACCAACCGGGTAAACTGCAGACGCCACAGAGTGGACGGCCCAAAAAGAATGTGCATTGGAAATCTGCAGGCAAGTTAAACGGAAAAGCCCGTTCTAAATTCCATTAAAATTCAAGTAAAATTCAAAAATATATTCCCGAATTTCCACACACTGAAAATCTTCTCTAATTGGCTGTGAGAGCTCGCACATACATAGTAGTAGCAGTCCACATAGTTGGTGGGAGCGCTAGAAATATTCCTATTTTTAGCCACTCGCACATTCAAGTGGTTGCCGCGGCCGTCCATTGACGCGACGCCGTCCGTCGGCCCGTTTTTCTGTTTTGTATACCCATTGAAGATCGGTCAAAAAATGAGTATGATAATTGACTGAAGAATTTGTAACAACTCTTATCTATTTCTTCCTGATCTTTTTTGTCTAATTAAAAAAGTTAGTCTCACATGATTTTACTTGTAAATAAATATGCGAGCTTTAAAAGTTTACAGGGTATCATTTCATGTCTAGCAGCTAAAATATTACCTAGAGTATATCTTATGAAGTACAATAGCAGTCGAGTACTGCATTTTGTAGATTAGAGTATGGCAAATGCAAAATTAAGATCAAATTATATATGTATATTACTTACGATTAAATATTTTCCTACAGGGCATTTGACAGTCGGTGCCTTGCGACTCTAGTAATCTTGTTTCTTCTGTTTTTCTTGAATCTTTGGCCTAAAATTTGAAAGAACTACAAAGTAATGTTTTCGAAATAGTCTATTTTGAATACTGCGCAAGCGCTTGAGTTTCGAGATTTTAGAATGTATTTTGTGCATTATTTACCTGTGATTAATTTGATCTCTCTATTTGATAGAACGGCCCTCTCCGCCGGGTCGTCCCATATTGACGCCGCTGGCGCTCTCCGAGCAGCAGCCCGATGTGGTTAATCTGCGCTGGGAACGCCCGCTGCTGGACGGTGGCTCGCCTATTATCGGCTATACGGTGGAGCAGCGACGTGTGGGCTCGCCCCACTGGGTGCGTGCCACACCCACGCCCATCTCCGGTTGCGAAATTCAGATCAGTGGCCTGGAGCCGGGCTGGCGCTACGAATTTCGATGCTTTGCCGAGAACATTGTGGGTCGCTCGAATGCCAGCGAGTTGTCCGATCCGCTGACTGTGACCTTGCAGAGGAACGCAATCAGTGTGCCCCGCTTTGTGGAAGAGCTGACGGACATGGATGCCGTCGAGGATGAGCGGATCGAGTTCCGCGTGCGAGTTCTGGGCGAACCGCCGCCAGAGATCAATTGGTTCAAGGATGGCTACGAGATCTTCAGCAGTCGTCGCACCAAAATTGTCAATGAGCTCGATTGTAGTGTGCTGATTATACACCAGGTGGCGCTGACCGACGAGGGCGAGATCAAGTGCTCGGCCACGAATCGTGCGGGTCATGTGGTCACCAAGTGTCGCCTGAAGGTGCAGGCACCGCCCAAGATTCGTCTGCCGCGCACCTACGAGGATGGCCTCATCGTGGAGGCGGAGGAAGTGCTACGTTTAAAGGTGGGCGTGGCGGGACAGCCAGCCCCAGCCATCACCTGGCTGCACGAGGGCGAGGTCATAGTACCGGGCAGTCGTTTCGAGGTCACCAACACGGAGAAGAACTCGCTGCTGAAGATCGACAACGTGCAGCGCGCAGATCGGGGCGAGTATATGGTGCGAGCTTGGAATAAGCTGGGCGAGGATATCGCCTCCTTCCTGGTCACCGTGACGGCCAGGCCGAATCCGCCAGGTGCTCCACGCCTCAACATGTCCTTTGGCAAGTCGGCCACGTTGTCGTGGACAGCTCCGCTGGACGATGGCGGCTGCAAGATCGGCAACTATATCGTGGAGTACTTTCGTATTGGCTGGAACGTTTGGCTAAAGGCAGCCACCACACGGGCGCTGAGCACCACATTGCACGATCTGATTGAGGGCTCCGAGTACAAGTTTCGCGTAAAGGCGGAGAATCCATACGGCTTGAGTGAGCCATCGGAGGAGTCGGAGTTGCTCTTCATACCCGATCCGAAGCGTGGCATCACCAAGCCCAAGTCGGCCACCAAAATTGCTGGCGATGAACGCAATGACGCTGGGCATAAGGAGAAGGACAAGGACATATCGAAGCCTGTGCCGCCGCGCCGCAAGACGCTGTCGCCGCCACGCCCACAAACGGATGCGGCGACCAGCATGTCCGCTTCGCCCAAGCAATCGCCGCGTGGCTCGCGCAAGCCCACTCCACAGCTGGTGGACAGCGAGCAGCTGCGCCACGAGATGTCCTACGGCACCTCCGACCAGGCGCTGAAAATGAGCGTGCGCAAGAGCCCATCGCTGAGCAGCGCCGACTCGGCTGCAGTGCAAACCAAAACCACCAAGCCCGACTCCAATCCCAAGCTCAATTTGTCGCTGATAACAACAACAGCGCTGGCGGACAAGCCGGAGCCACAGTCCAAGCCACCCAAATCACCCCCAGCTGCAGTGCCGCTGAAGCTCTTCAATGTCAAGCCGATGACTACCGCCAAGGACAAGTCACCTGGTCGCCCAGCACAGAAGTCGAAGCCGCAGACGCAGCCGCAGCCACTGCCGCAGCCTCCGATAGCAGCACTGGAGCCTGCCTTGGATTCGTCTCAGCGTCAGCCTGCTCCACTGCGAAAGAGTCCAACGCCGCCGCAGCCCATCAAATCGACGCCCGCCCTGCAGCGCAGCGCTGAGCCCGTCCAGCTGGGCGTCAATCAGAATGTGAGACGCTTCTCTGGTCACTCTCTGAGCCCGGCCAAGAATGTGCCGGCTCTGGCAATTGCCATAGCCACCAGTGCCCACATTGGTGAACCGCTGCCTACCATAGAGATCAGTGCCCCGCCTCCTGCCCAGCCTGAGCCACTTGTGCCGGCGACTCCCACATCGGAGCCGACGCCACCAGTGATAAAGGTGCGTCCACCGAAGCCAGCGGATAAACACGACGAAGTCCATACGAGCAATGAGTTCATGCTAGTGGTCTTCGACAAGAACAGCAAGGTCAAGGATAAGGACAGTAAGTAGTTGAGTAATTCCAAAAACTCCCATTGATATTGTTTTGCCTCGTCCAGAGCAAGATTCCTTTGAGCTGGAACTGGAGGACGCTATACAGCCACCGCCGATCTCCATCTCTGCACCGGATTTGGCCTTCTTGGAGTTCACCAACTTGCACACGACTTTCCCGCTGCGCCGCTCGGTCAGCTCCACGGAGCTCCTCTACGAACGTGCCATGGCGCGTTTCTACGAAGCCGTGGAATTGGAGCAAGCCTCCAAATCAAAGGCGAAGACTGCAAAGGCCCAGGAGCCGGCAGCCATAGCCGTGACCGCTCCGACCACGTTCCGCAAGCGCCTGGGCTCTATGACGGAGGCGGAGCGTGCTTCCTTCGAGCGCCGCAGCGAGCTGAGACGTCAGTCGGCTGACATGGTGCCCATGGGACGTAAATGGGATTCACGGGAAAACGTAAACCTCGTTGATTTAAAGAATCTGACACGTGCCAACACGGAACAGCTGCTCAATCTGCAGGCAAGAAACACTGATAGTCGTGAACAGGATCTGGAGGATTACGACGAGGATCGCACGGAGAGCACAGCCGATGACAGTGAGGACTTGGACATGGACGAGGAGCATCAGCAGCAGCAGCAGGGCTTCGACCTGGGCACTGATTATACCGAGAGCACCGCCACCTCCGACCAGGACTCCATTGAGAAATTCAAAATGCAGCTGATGGCGCGAACTCACTCACCCAGTCCACGTGATCTGGAGACGTATCATCCGCGCAACATGGGCGCTGGCACCTTCACCCCCTATCGTGCACCCACACCGGAGCAGGCAGCTGTGGTGCTCAATCGACCAATGCCTCTGCCCAGTCCGGACTTTGTGCCAAAGCCCATATTGAAACGGTCATCCAATGAGCACGTGGAGCTCACCCTTAGCCAGCCTAGCAGCCCGGATGCACAGCAGCAGGAGCTGGGCAATGGCGCTGTCAGCAGCCCTTCCACTCCTGCTGCAGCACCCAGTAATTTGAAACTGGATCTGGCCAAGGGCATCAAGTCGTTTTTCAGCCGGGACAAGCGCTCGGCCACCGAGAAGAACACCGAGGCCAACGAGGAGATCTCGAATCCGCTGGAGAAGACCAACGCTGCTGTCATCGCTGCGGAGCTGGAGACGAAACGCAAAATAAAAGAGGAGGAGGAGCTGCGGCGCCAGGAGCAGGAACGACTGATGCAGGAGGAGGCCCACGCAGCCGTGGATCACTACAGCGACCTGGTGCGCCAGGTGAGCAGCACCCACAAGTACCACACGCCGCTCTACCTCGACCGAGATGAACTGAAGCGAGCCGCTGCCCAAGCGGGGGAGGACGACGACGACGACGATGGTGCCGCAGCGGAGCATCAGCAGCGTCGAGCACGCAGTCCCGATCAGGATGAGCTGCTGCTGGCTCCGCCTACCGTCAGTCGGGAGCGACGTCTGTCCATTTCAGAGCGGGAGCAGCTTGTGCATGTGCGTGATGCAGCCAGCAGACATGCCATGCACAAGGCGCCCGAAACACCTGCACATGAGGATCAGCGGCGGGAGGAGGAGCCGGAGTTTCCCACTGTGCTGGTGGTGCCGCCACCCAAGTCCAAGAACAAAAAAGACGCCGAGGAGTGCGCCGAGAGCGTGATGAGCGAAATAGTCGAGGCGCGTCCCGATGCTCGTGGACGCACGCGTCTGGTGAAGGTCAAGCGTGTGATCAAGCGCCGTGTGCCGTCCCGCACGCGCTCTCGCGACGTCTCGCTCAGCAGGCCACAGCAGCCGCTTGCTACCGGAGGTAGCTCGTTGTCCCAGGAACACAGCTCCCAAGCGGCATTGCTGCTGTCTGCCGCGGATCGTGAGCTGCTGGAGAAGGCAGCCAGCTTGGCGCTGCTGCAGTCCTGCTCCGAGGAGCAGGCGCATGAGAAGGTGCGCTCCGCCTTGAGTTACTCCACGGATCTGGTGCTCTTCCTCGTAGCCTGCTATGTCTATCTGTTCAAGGACGCACGCCTCGTCCTGCCCATTTTGGCGCTGATGATCTATCGCCAGCTGGGCGAGGCCGTGCGTGGCTACATCCCCAGCTGGCTGCGACGCAAAGGCAACGATGGCGGTGCCTGAGTCAGCCGAATCTCCAGCTGCCCCCAGTTCATCATGCGTTTATCAGTTAAGTTAGCTCTTATCAATCTATCGACTTGTATTTTAAGCTTAAGTCCCCCAAAAACTTCGGATCTACTACGAATTTCTTATGGATAACCCTGTATACGTATACGTTTACTTATATTATATAGTTAACCGATCTTAGACTTGTTGCAGTTTGGTATAGTTTTTGATTATGTGAAATCGTCAATGTCGTATTTGTCCGATTGAAAAGCTCTGTTAGCATTAGAGGCTGGAATTTGTGGTTCATTTCTCTTGTGTCATATCATCGTATTGAGTAAACTAACTGTCTCATGGAAATATTTATAAATATATATATTTAATAATATGCTTGTCTGATCGTCTGATTTGCTTCCTAGCTCTCTTCCTATTCCACTCTTATCATAGCTTTCAGAGAGCTCAAACTTACTAAAAATATAGAGCTACAAAGCTCGTCATGAGATTCTTTATCCTGGCACCTAGACTACTTCTTTATACAAACTAGATCTTGGACATATTCTCTATCGCTTCTTACATGATGTTTCCAGTTAAATTGTTAAAATGCAATTTGTATAATATATTTATAATTTTCATATTATTCATATTTGACCTCTATTTTATAGTCAGATTATAGCTAGCTGCTCGCCAAGCATCGGTTTACTATATCTATTAAAATCACTCTACTTAGGCTGACTTTGTTATGTGTTGTGGTACTCTCCCTCTCACTCAGTGCTCGCTGTTTAGGCCTAATAGATTATATTTTGTGTTTGTTTACGACTTATTTAGTCGGTCTTTTCTGGATTGTTGGTCAATTATTTATTTGAGAAATAAAGCACACAAAAACAAGAATCTAGTCAAGTTCCGGTGAGACGTCAGCGCGATATCCAACTATAAACAGATCGAATCGGGTGACTTTCCTTATCGTTCGGTATGTCAACAGCAGCAGCAGCCGGTGCTGCGACAAATTTCATGGAATATTCTTTGGGCTTATCTGATCTATGTAAATACATATTTGGCATAAAAGGGAGATGCTGAATTGGCCAGAAGCACATTCCATCCTCTATATTCCCAGCATGTCTGCCACATACGCCTGGACTTTCGTGCTCTGCTTGGGCTTTGCTCTGGGCAACGCTGCTATAATACAAGGTCAGGAGGCTGCGGTCGGACCACCGCCAAATCTGGCCCAGGATCTAACGGATATCTATGGCCAAATACAGTTTAAGCCCATGCAGAAGCTGTTTGTGCGCTACCTGCTGAACGATGGACAGTTCCAGGCCTTCGTGCGCATCTTGAACAGCAATGCGGGCTTCACGGCCTACTGGCGCCTGCTCGCCCAGCCGGAGGTGCTGCTGTTCCGGCAGTGGGTGGATCAACAGCTGTTGGCTTCCTCGGGCCAGTTCGAGCTGGAACCAGTGGAAGTATGCACCTCACTGCTGAATCGCTATCCGTACCTATCGGGCACTGTCTTCGGCTGGCAGGGATTCCTCAATGAGCTGGAGATGTATTTCCCACTTTATGCCATCAACGCCCAAGTGCAGCTTAAGGTGCAGCAAGGCGGCATCTTTGCGCAGTTCTATCAGCGTTTGAGCGCCCTGAAGGTCGTCTACGAGCGCTGGCTGGCCACGCCCAGCACCCAGACGGTGTTTAACCAGCTCCAAGCAGAGGGCATTGACACTGTCCAGCTGGACACGATTGTGCGGGATCTATTTGGCTGGCAGGTAACCAATACAACGGCCGTAACACTCACGCCTACGCCCACTGTTCCAGATGGTGCTGTGATGATGCCTGGAGCTCCACTAGTCCTTTAATGCCTAGTATAGAGGCTTAACCCCTGCTCGGGTCGAGCTTGGCTAAATATGGTGTATGGTGTACTTATTTATATATAAATATACATATATGAGCAAATATTTATCAGTTGAATCTTTTATTTATCTAAATTGGATGCCAACGAAAATATTCTAAACAATAATTCTCTAATAGGTAGAAATAAGTGAAGTCAGTTAGAGTGACTGTAAGTTCAATAAGAAAAGAAGAGTAAACGGATAGACTAAGTTAAGCTTCTTATGAGTCCAATTAGAGAGACTTACATATCAATTCAAGAGCATTTTACAGTAGCTAGAATTGTAGATTAAATACAATCGCAACTTATCTAGGTGCTATAAAAACGGCTTCTATAAAAATTGCAATGCTAACTTGACTTGCTAGGATTCATATGGGACAAAATATCCAATACGTTTTCTCAATATAAATTCGAACTCAATTATAGAACATGCAGCTGAACAGTCTGAACGAACAGTTTTATATATATTTATATATATATATATATATATATATATGTACATAGATATATGTGTATAATCCTTTGAACTAATATTATTAACAAATCGCATTGATTGACTTGAATGCTATTTTAGAACTTTAGCTTGCCCAGCGTATCGGAGACTTTGCTGGCATTGCCTGCGGGTTTCTTTTTGTTTTTGATGGGCGTGGCAGCCGGTTTGGGCTTCTTAACGACCATATCCTTGTGGAGCACCTTCAGTGTTTCGTCCACCTTCTCCTGCTTGGCCTTGACAGTCTCCTTGAGCTGAGAAAATTTAGGTAGTTTAATGTCTGGGAATCATGGTAGATCTGGATGATTCGCTTGGCTCACCTGCTTGAGCTTGCCCTTCACTTCCTTGGGCTTCTTTTTGCCCTTGTTGTTGGCCACCTTGAAGACGTTTTTGGCCTTCTTGGATTTATTCAAAGCAGGCTTGGCATTTGCTTTGCCAGCAGCTGCACTTCCGCCTGCTCCCGCTCCCTTCTTGGCATTGGCCTTGTTGCGACCCATGACGACGTGGCTGTAAATACAACAGAAGAGACACGAATTCATTTTTTATAGAAACTTCATAAACTTTATTTTTAGCTTAGTCAAACACATTTAACTTTAGTGGCAGCAACAGCCTGCTCCTCCTCTGTTTCCCCTGTGGAACAGGGGCGCTTGCCCAGCAGCTGCTTGGGCGTGGTTAAGAGCGTTCGGGTTAGCCTAAAGGAAACTCTATACATGTCCTTGTTGGGCGCTACATTCCGAACAAAGCTTATCCCCTGCAGCTCGTCACCCAGTGCTGCGTCTAGATTACTTTCCACCAGCTGCTGCACCAGCCCCTTGGTATTCTCTCCCTTGGCAAAGGAATAGACATGTACTAGTGGATAGCGGGGTTCCTCTGGCAGCTCCTCCGGCGTATATAAGCCACGAAATGCGTCCAGGAATTCCACAGCCATTGCTGGTAGATTCATGGTTATATGAATGTTATAAGGCTCAGCTGCAGCTGATGTGCGCCAACGCTCTAGCAAATCCTCCCGCAAGTCCTTTAGGATAAACTCTCGGCCATCCTTATTAAACATTTTGATATGTGTCAAGCACTTGTTGCGCTTGGCATTGTGCTGCAGCCACTGATAGCTGACGGGATTCAGGTCATTGGCCAGCACCTTGCAACGCTTCTTGGCCGCCGGCACACTGAAGGGACCAACGCCAGCGAACACGTCGTAGAGCACATCATTAGGCTTTAGTATGTTAACAATCCTCTCGTGCTCTGTTGACAGACGTGGATTCCAATAGACCTTGGAGAAGTCAAATTCAAAGGGCACGCCGTTCTCTTTGGTCTCCACCTGGTAGTCTGGCTCACCGCAAATCAGCTCCAGCTGAAAATTGCGATAGGTATTGTCAATGGAGGCCGCCTTGTTGACCACGGTGCGACAATTGGGCAGCTTATCGCGCAGCACCTCGCCGATGAGCTGTTTGTAAGGAAGCAGGTGATCACGCAGATTTAAGTGGACTATGTGGCCAATGCGCGAGAAGGAGGAGAGTCCCTCCTCGTTCTCTGGCAGCACACTCTTCAATATCTCATTGGCGCTCCAGTTCTCGTAGGTTAACTCGAGATCTGCATGGCTGAAATTCTCTTGCGTCACCTGCTGCTGCTCCAGCTCGGCGGTGGGTAGTGACTCCCAATTCTTAACAGGTATTGGATGCAATAGTATTTCACGTTGATTCTCCACGGCCCTTACTGGGTGCAGATGTTCCATTTTGAGTAGCAGCTTCTTTACCAACGGGATCACACGCTGCACCTGAGATTCGGGCACTCGTAGTCGGGGGATTTGCACATGTTTTTGAAACTCCGCGCGCTGCAGCTCACGCATGCCACGTACTGAGGCAGGTGGCGACAGCACTGTGCTCTCCATGTTGCGGTAATAGTGGCGTAAACGTTTGCTTACTAACAGCAAATTTACGATTTTGGTAAGGGGTGGGGGCCTGGTGACCGCGGAAAACATTAACAAAAAAACGTGCATGCAATCAATGCAGTCTTTTAGAATTGGTTTTACACGTTTTAAAATTGTTATGGCAGTCAGCACCAATTAACCAATACAGCTTTAGTAAACACAAATAAACATTCAGTTTATGTAAAAAACACAATTATCTTCGGAAATTACCCTATTTCTCAGATATTATAAAGCCAGCGAAAATAAATGAGCTGGATGTTCGCTCCACGATGAACTCGTTCCACATTTACTTTTGCAATTGGTCTGGCAACGCCGCAGTTAACAGCTGTTTGTGGCTACGAAAATGAGCGGCGCGCAAGAAAACGCAATTGAAATTTATCCTAAAACTCAATATTTAAGGTGAGTACTGAATGAAATATAAAAGAACTACATAATAAAAATGTTTATAGTGCTTCAGAACTTGTAGCACAACGGCATCCTGAAGTTGAATCACCAAGAAACGGGCTTAAGCGCACCAGCTTTGAAGGCAGTGCAGAGGAAAATGTGGAGTTAAAAAATACCTATGGTGAATTTGGTTTTTAGTTTAGTATATAAAATGAATAAAATAAACATTTGGTTTTGTTATTACAGCAAATTTGCGCCTACAATTATCTGCTAGACGTATTGAGCGCCAGGCAGGTCGCGCTATAGCCATATGGAGCGACGATCAACAGGCTGCTGAAGTCGTGCGTAAAGATGGAAAGTTTGAGAGCTTTGGCTACAGTCAACAAGGGAAACTCTATTTGGAATATTACGAGGCTTTATTTCTGCTGGAACTAGTGTGTATACTTTTATCATATTAAATGATAATATTTGCTAAACATATTGTCTATTTTCACAACAGAATCGCCTTCAATTAGAGTACTGTGGATTGATTGTATCCATCGAACAGGCCTACGTCTTGCTGCTTGGTGAGGAGGCTAGTGAAAAGTATAACAATTATTTTGTCTACTCGGCTTTGTCACGCGCTGGTTATATAGTTGTCAGGCATCAGGAAGGGTATCGAACAGCCTCCAGCGACGTGGTCACAAAAGATGACTGCATTTGGGCTCTGTTGGATGCTTCTCTAAGTAATAAGCCTGTTCCCCTGCACATCAAAGTCTCCCAATTTTACAACGCTACGTTCGAGCGAATGGTGCAGCTCAAGCAGCAAATAAAAAATCAATGCTCAGAAGCAAGCACAGACGAGATCAGCATAAATAATGAGCCTAACGCCTTCAAGTTTGACACACGTAAGCGTAGAGCGCAATCAGAGCCAGAAGAGGAGCTAGCTAGCAAAAGGGCAAGCACAACAGGGAGAAGCCTTATAGATGACTTAAAAGATGAGGCAAGCTACAGGAAATTTCAACAAACTTTCGAAAAATTGGATATAGTGCGGCTGCAAAGCGAGGACTACGACTGCGATGTAGACTCAACGATCCGTACCTTTAAGATCACCTTTGATTTGCATCTTCATAACGACGGCTTCCGGCGAAGTGCACCGAAGACACCCACCTTCAGCGTGATTATTCTACAGCACGACGAACCATTTCCCACCCACATCGAGATGCTCCACTGCCAACGGCAGCAGATGCGAGCAGAAGAGCGAGCACCGCTGCTCGTCATATCCGTAAGCGAATCGAAACACATACAAGCGTTTCTTTATTATATCAGTTAATAACTGCTCCGGTAGATGTATTTTGTATAACCATATAGAAAATAATTATTGCTATTTTATATGCGTGTCCATAAAAAGCTCTTTAATTATTTGGTTGACTTGCGTAGCTAAAAGCTATTCAATCAAAAAATTGTCATCATTGTTTAGGCATTTTTAAAATTGTTAAAATTGTTTCTAAAAAATACGGAAATTATTTTTTTTTTTAAATATGGTAGAGTTTTTATTAAGCTGTAATTAGACCACTAATTAATATTTGAATACACAGAATGTGCCAATTGTTTGGGTTATGGGTGGACCCAGCAGTGGTAAGACTACGCTCGCTCAAAGTATAGTAGAGAAGTACGGATATAAGCACGTGGATATCAATGCCATTATAGACCATGAGGCAAGTGCTAAAAGCAATCGATAATCTGTACTTAACATAGAATCTGTCGCAGATTGAGACCGACACGCCTAAGGGTAAACAATTCGCTGAGGTAGTCAATAATGGTCAATTGGTGCCGTTAGCTGAGGTCATGCCGTTAGTGGAACAGGAACTAATGAGTAATAAATCGGGACTTCGCGGCTTTGTCATAGATGGGTAACTATGCAGTAGACAGCGTAGCCAGTTGTCCTATACAGCCTGCGAAAATTCCACAGCTATCCTACAAACCAAGCCGATGCTGCTGTTTTGGAGCAGCAGGTTGGCACTCCAGATTTGGTAATTGCTCTGAGTGTGGGGCAGGAGACGATAGACACGCGCCGATCCTCACTGAATGCACGAACTAGCATTACGGCCCAGGCATATATGAAAAATGTGAAGCCAGTGCTGGATCAGTATGCCGCCAAGACGATGCAGATCGATGGCGATCGCGATGCTAATGCTGTCTTTGAGGATGTGAAGCCCAACATGGAGATAATCAACAAAAACCATGGCCCAAAAATCTCAATTGGCCGTTAAGTGATGTAGAAATTATAGCGCTGACAAATTAATCAAAAATTATAGTTTGAAATTAAAAAGTTAAGTATAACAGATTTTCTTTGTTACTTTTCATATACATACATATGTATATGTATGCACCATAGTGCGCGATAAGCAGAACTAAAAAAAACTAAAAGCTCGTATAGCAAAGCTGCATGGCATTAGCTTGTCGAAACCGTTAGCGAAAGCTTTGCGCTCAGTCGCTCCCGACACACGCTGCATTAAGGGTGGAAATTCGACATAACGGAAAAGACGCGACCAAGCGAATCAAGAAAAAGCAATAGCAAAACAAAATCTGTGCGAATTAGCAACAACAACACGCCGAAGCAGCGCGACTCTTTAACGAAAAGCATTTCGCGATTAATTTAACAACAACAACAGCACAAGGCCCACAGCAGCGTCGCATATACCTCATATACATCGTCATGGTAAGTCGGTGTGTGTGCGTGCGAGTGTGTGTGTGTATGTGTGTGTACTAGTTTACTTCTCTAAAAACAATTTATGGCTTTCCCAATTGTGTGCGATTTGCGATACCAGAAGCAAAACAAATGCAGGCGAATTGTTGCTAGAGAGATTGGTGCAGTGCAATCCTCGGCTCGATTGACCTTCGCACCTTCCACTCAAAGCTCTGACTGCATTCCCACACACTTGACCTTGTGCTCACATACACATGCACGTACAGTGAGCCAATTGCAAACAAACATTTTCAAGCAAATCAACTTTCCTATGCACCGACTTTTTTCCCCATTTTTGTTTGGGCTTGCGCGTCAGCTGTTCGGCTATAAATAACAGAGCCGAGCACAACAAAACAGATGAATACCGGTAACCAGAGTGCCTGTGAAATTCCCACAACAACAACTGTACAAGAAACAGTCGTAAAACAAACAAGAATTAAACAGTTAGACAAAGAGCGAACCGAAGTCTGAATACTCTTGTGGCTAGAGCGAGATAGACAGAGGTTTTTATTATAGCAGAATGATATTAAAATAATTGTATATACATAAATGTGTATGATATAAAAATTTAGACGTATGGCTAGGTGAAATGTTATATTCAAATCATTTTTTTAAATAAAATATAGTATATAGAGGAACTATATTTATAAACTATTAGGTCTGCGCGATCTATATAATGATGCGATGCGCTGTGATCGACGTGACGCACCTATGAAAAGTTTTAGCATGATTATAGCTTGAAATCTGACAGACTGAGGATAGGCATTCCAATATGAGCTCGATTGATACAGCTGAATAGCATATACAAACATATATAAATAACATTATTAATAACAAAATCAAACGATCGCCACTGTCGGTTAGGGCATTCAAATAACTGAGCCACAAATTAACGTCTCAAATGACAATAAAAGAAGAAGAAGCAGCAGAAGAAACAAAACACAATTTCACATTCCAAGCCAAGTCAAGTTTCATGACGTCAAAGTCAATAAATTTGCATAAATCGCACGACAGGTGGAGCTGGTCCCAGGAATTTCTGGCTGGGCTTGATTCATTAGCGAGCGCTTTGCCTCGAAGTGTGTTTATTGAAGAACTACGATTGAATTAGTCGAGTCATCTGGGCTTTTATGAGTCGATCGATGGCGACTCTATGCCGGACTCTTGGCATTAGTTTGATAGCAAAGCTGGCTTTGATTTTAAATATTGTTTAAGCATCGGCGACGACACAAAGTCGCGACGCATGGAATTTTTGCAAGCAAAACAAAAACAAACTTAGTGGAGCCATAATAAAAATTCCTTCAGTTCCGTTTTGGAGCTATAAAAAAAGTAAAAGGTTAAATAGTTGAGAACCTGAACAACTGTTTCATCAAAAATTTACAATGCATCGCGTGCCAAAGAAAACGTTCGATATATCCTTGCAAATGTCATTCATAGGTCACTGAACCAAATCCAAATCGGAATCTGAACGAGTTACGTAAATGCCGTGCCATTGAAAAATCATCATTATCATCATCATTATGATTTTCCCACACCTAACTGAAAAAAGAAATATGTGAAATGATGTGAAAAGACGTGAAAAGAACTCGTGCGAGCTTAAGAGAGCGAGGTCCAAATTTATGCGCCGCAAAATACAAAAGTTGAAATATTTATATTTATGAGGAAAAACAACCTGCACATTATCAACTAGAGCAAGAAGAACTTGAAATTCATTCATATTGTTGTTTTCATTTATATATATTATATATAAAATTTTGTTAAATTCTAAAAGAAATTTGTTCAAAAGGTGCGACAATGCGGAACATTCGAAGCAATAACCAAGGGGAGGTTATTCTATATTATTTGTGATATATACAGAAAACAGAGCAGCAGCAATGATATATATAAATATATATACCGGCTATACACCCACATAAAACTACATAAACAGTGGCAGCAGTAAAACTTAATTATATTTGTTTATCAATTTTGATTTGTTTGGTTTAATCTGAACAATAAACGGATATATAAAACAAGTGCTATATAAAGTCGATGAGTTATACGCTCTATGGGGCGCTAATTGAACCGTTAACTAGGTGGTATACATACATACATATATACATATATAAATATAATAGATCCAAACTCGCACAGCATCCAACAATCTCCAACCCTCTCACTCTTACTCAATTATACAGTTATGTGCGTTCAA